GACAAAGTAATGGTCAAAGTCAATGTCAAAACTTAACTAAAAATCGATTCATCGAAGAAGAAAAAGATGAACGAAATCAAATCAGAAAATAAATGAAGAAATGTGATTGTATTTATATATGACAGACACAGCCAACATGATGACGGCGACGATGATATCAATCGAAAAAAATATTAAAATTCAAAAATGTGCGCATGCGCTGTTTCCCTCGTCGTCTTTTCATTTGAAAGAAAAATGTGTTTTTTTTGTTTTGCTTTGTTGTTTTCACTGATATTGAAATTGGAATTGAATGTAAAGAATGAAACGAAGAAATTCCACGAAGACAATGTAGTGGTTTATTCGTTTGTTTGTTTGTTGAATTTTTGCATCCAAAATGGCAAAAAAAAAATGCACCCAGATACACACACACACACACCGTGAGAATCTTATCGTAAGATTTGATGACGAAAAACGCAAAAAAAAAATTTATTGAAATTTTTCTAATTTTCTTCTACTTCAGGAACCAAAAATCAATTATCGTGGGGATGTGCGTTAATTAATCAAAAAAAAAATTGCAAAAACAAACAAACAAACCCAATGATGATGTGATGTGATTTTTCCTCAATTACGCAACATTTGCACCAGAAACAACAAAAAAGTTGAACGAAATAAAATTTTTTTTTATGAATATTGATAATTTTGACGTCATCATTCAATGAAATATATTGGGATTTTTTGTTCTTCTTCTTCTTCGTTGATTGATTTGGTGGTTTTTGGCTTGTTGTTTACGACAAAATTATCGACAGGAAGATCGTAGTTTCAAAACAATTTTGTAACTTTATTTTTGTAATTTTGTAATTTTGTTGTAACGATTAATTATCGTCATTATCATTATCGTCATCGTCTAAAATGATGAAATTGTAATTAAAAATTATCAATATGAAAAGGGGGATTATTAGTTCAATAAAATGTTTGTTTGTTTGTTTGAAATCATCCGATAACGACAGACGTCATTGCGTTTGTGTCATTGTTATCGTTGTTTCAAGTACAGCGAAAAGTTTTTTAAAAAAAAGTTTTTAAAAATTTTAAAATTGAAAAATTCTTGAACTTTTTACAAAAAAAAATTTCTATTTTAGCAAATCAAAAAGGGAAATTCTTTGTCGGTTGAATCGATTGAATCGAATCACCTTAATACATCCGTCAGATATTTTTATCTTTTTTAAAAAAGTTTGAAACAAAAGTTTTTCCCTCTTCTTTCAAATGTTTCTTTTTCTGATTTTTTCAACAACAAAGAATATTTTAGGTTTTGGGATTTTCTCTCCGCAGCAGCAGTTTTTTTCCGAAGAAAATGTTAAGGATAAATTTTTTATTTGGTAAAATTTCCCATAAATTTTCAAAAAGATTTTCCTTCCTTTTGTTTGTTTGTTTGTTTGTTTTTAAACGAAGCTTTTTTTCCATCTTTTTTCTCTGACTGACTGACTGATTGATTGATTGATCGATCATATCGAACCAAGTGTTAATGAAACAAAAATTTCAAACAAAACAAAACAATGATCATTATCATTGATAGCCAAGCAACAAAGTGTGATTATGATTAATGATTGAATTTAACCTTTGATTTTCATTTTTTGAAATTAGATTTCTCGGTTGGAGAGATTGATTGAACCGATGATACAGGTAATTCAAATCAACAAGTTTTTTGTTTTGTTTTTTTGTTGATTCGATTCGATTTGAATGAAATTCCATTCAAGAATTCAAAAATTGCAATGTTTATTTGCAATTTGTTTTCATCAATTTTCTTTTTTTTTGTTGTTGTTGAAACAAAGCAGGAAATGTTTTTTTCATTTATGAATCGAAAAATGATAACAGGTTTTGTTTTGTTTTCGTAAATTCACGCCATTGACATTGATCTTTGTTTAGTTGTTTGATTGTTGAGTTGAAATAGACGCTTATAGCAAAATAATAATGATTCTTTATCAAGTTAGTTTTAATCAACGAAGAAATAAAACGTTTCAAAGTTTCAAGTTTTCAAATTCACAAACCAAAATTTCATTTAAATGTTGAAATTTTTTTTTCTACCCAAATTGGATACATAATTAAGAAATGAGATTTTCTTTTTCTTGTTTTGTTTTTCATCAATCGATTGCAATCAATCGATCG